AAGATCTGAACCATCCTGCAGACCTTGCATCTCAGAAATATCTCAGGAAGCTTTCGCGGCATTTATCCAAGGGCCGCTGCGGCAAGAGCTTCAAGCTGCCATAGGCCCTTCTCCGGCTGAGCTTTCAGAGATTATAGTCTTTTGGTCGAACATCAGACATTTGCAGCGGGTTGGAAAGTCACGGCTGCGGTGCGCCATGCGTATACACGAGAGAAGCATCCTTCTTTTCTTCTTAGACTTATCCTAAATACTGCCGCCGGGCTTCTCGCTGCGAGAGGCTCCACCCATGTCCCTCTTTATGGGCTTTTTCTATTCGTTACGCCGACAGCAAGCATCTCTGGCGGCAAGATTTCTCCTTCGCGCTGGGCATCGAAAGTGAGATGTCGTGCAAAGGTCTCTTTAACTGGAATGTCGATTGAGGCTGAGGTTCCACGAAGCGGGCACTGCAGGACCAGACAACCCCCAACCAATGTTCGTGGTAGCGCATTTCATCGAGTTCTGCATACCTTTGCACACCGACCCTTCCTCCTCAGCTTGAGGCCAAAAAATGTCGAGTCGTCCAGCATATTCCAGCATGCTACACTCTAGAATGCGTTGAGCCCAGGCGTCTCCGTTGATTTCCTTCTCGCCTTGGTGAATGCAGGGGCATCGGGAGAAAGCTTGCTCTCTTATGAGTCTTGGCTTCAACCTGTTCGAAGGAAATCAGGCCTGCCCCGACGATGGATCCTCTCTCAGGCACAGCTTCAAGGCGTAAACTAGCCGAATCGGTTGTCCAGGTCAAGCTTGGGGCTCCACGGACTTCAACTGAATTCTCGCAACGAAACTCACAAACGCTTTCTTGCCACCTCATGGCCCAACTGAATAGCAGACCTGCTGTGAAGCACTGCCTTTCTTGGTGTTGTCACAATCACAATCTTGCTTCGAAGCCCATAACATGAATCCAGAGAGATGGTGCAAAATGGAACCCGAAGCGTTGGGCGTGTCAAAATGCCAACTAGACATTGAAAGCTTTGTCTAGGACGGCATCTTGGCAGATTGTTCAGTGCGAAAAGCATGTTAGGCTCAGGCCTTGTACTTTTCTGATGAGTTTTGTTCTCGACGGCCCAAAGGTGATTGGTATTCTTGTGGGCGTGAACATGATCTGGGTGCCAGCCTGCCTTGTGGTCATGAGACTTTGGCTGCATAGTGGTACGGGAATCGGTGCGGGACCGTTGCAGCTCCCCCGAAGTGTAGAGCGAAGCCCAAAGGCCTGCTCCAAGCTCGGCACTTTCAGGCTGAAGCTTTCCCGTCTGTTCCTAGGATCAACTTGTCTGATCACTTCGCACCAAAATTGGCTGGAGCCACGGATCACCTGCAGCTTGGTCCCTGTTCCGAGGGTTTGCACGTAGGAGTTTGTAGATCTGTGTTTCGGAAAAGTTGGAGATGTGGGATATGGGCCACTCTAGTTTCAGTCTTCCATCTGTCTATGGCTGCCTAAACCCAACTGCCGGCAATCGCTGCGCTCACTCAACAAGTGTCTCCTTTAATTGTTGTTCAGAACTTCCAGTTTTTGTTGGGTGCCGGTTTTGACACGTTATCATCCGGAAAAGCGCTGCTAGTCAATTTCAGTGATGTCGGTGAGGGCTGTCTGGACCGGCCTGTCGGGTCTCCGCCCAGCTTTTGCAGTGCAGTCTATGTCACGGGTTAGGAGTACATCAGCCAGTGCAAATGCACGGTAGGCTACGGTTCTCCAGACGCAACCAGAAGTGCACGACTCATGCAAGCTTGGTGGGCGTTCGTTCAAGCGGGGTTTGCCCCCTAGACTCAGCCATTCTGACGGAATCAGTGCGACTAACAGCCATCCAGGCAAACGGCTGGCATCGTGGTGCTGGTGCTCGTGTCTGGGACGACCATGGCCCAGGGGTCGGGTCTTAACACCCGAGTTGTTATAGGGAGTGATGTGACTGATCTCGCTAGAGTATCACCCTGATGTGAAAGTCGGCGACGTCTGGGTCATTCGCAAGATCTTCGAACAGTGTCTGGAGGTTCAGTGTGCCACTGGTGTATCCAAGCTGGATTCTTTATAACTCTTCAAACTCCGTTTGCGTTTGCTGCGAGGTTGTCGTGGATGCGGGACGCTTGCTTGCCGGCTTCGCAACCTGGGCTTTCAAGTTCATTGTTTTTTCGTGACCAGCGCGCGAGTTGGAGAAAGGGCACCGCGGACGCCCAGCATCAGGGAATCCAAATGTGCCACGCCCAAAGACCTCAAACTGAATATTCCGGCCTGGGGTAGCCATTGCAACACGTCTGAGCCGAAAGCATCGCCAGATCATGTATGGAAGTATGGCAGATTGCAGAAGTCGAGGCTTGCGCGTCCAGCCTGTGGGGCTCTGGCGTCTTTCTTGCAATGGCCATCGCCGCTGGAGCTACTGGGACCCGAGTAGGTTTGAAATGACTTTTCTGGCACTGGAAGGGTGTACGTATAAGCCCATAAATGAAACTCCAGAACATCAGGTTGAGCCACTTGCATAATGGCATATTGCAACGTGAAGCACGTTGATGTGCAGTCACGATTTGCGACGCAGCAAGCTTAAAAGCACATCAGCGCCATAGGGGAGCGGTCAAGAGCAGCTATGAAACTTGGCTTGGATTGCCCGGATAAGGCTGGAGCTCTGATCGTCCAGCGCCGACGTGGTGGTGAAAAGACACGACAGCCGCAGGAGGAGCTTTGCCCATGAAGTGCTTGCCATGCGCGCATAGCATGTGGCAGGATTCGTCGTTTGTAGCTGAGATTCAGATGAAGACTCGCCGAAACCCAGGAGGACGACGAAGATCCGACAGAAGCAGAGGCTGAGGCGGAACACGCCGAAGACGTGTCGGAACTGCTGCCGATGCAGCTGGACAAGTTGCCGATGTACGCCTCTGAGGCCGAAGTGCAGCTGAAAGCGGAGGTCGGTGGCGAATCCTCCGCCTCCTCTACGCTACCATACCAAGGTCTGGCAATCTAACAACCTCCGATGTTTCACCGACGCTGGCAAAGTCAGCCTGTTAGGAGATGTGCAGAGGCTGCAGGTGTCTCGGATTTGCTGCTAGTCCCGAACTCCAGAAGATGCAGTGCCTGAAACTTCTCGATTCTGTTGTCAGTTGTCTCGAAAAGCATTCAGCTTTGGGCAAGGAGTGGTTATTAGCCGTTCTGAACACATTGCGTGAACGATTTGCGGGCTCCCTCCCGCTGCAAGAGCAGCTACGCGCGAATCCGAGCGTGGTGTATTCTTCCAAGAATTTTCCTGTTGGCACAAAAGGTGCCAACTTTTCAGCTCACCCCAAATCCCTGGAGCCTTATGGCACCGACTCTAGATGTGGTTTCACATGTGCAACTGTTTCCTTGGTCCGGCATTAAGCACCCGTCCGCACGCTCAGACCAGCTGAATCTGCTGAAATGCTTGCGAGTTGCGGACTGCGCACTCATCGGCATTGTAATTATTGGGTTGATGCGAATCAGCGAGAATGAAACGAACGTCAATGAGATTCAATGAGCTGGCATGCGCAAGGAAACAGCCTTACATGCATTATACGCCAGTATCAACAGGCTGGAGACGTATCCATGATGATGTGCCAACAAAGCTATCCACCATAAGGCTGTATGAGAGGAATTAGCTGATCATCTGATTGACCTGCGAAGTGATGAAATAAATGACGGGCATCCAGCATCCTCGCTTGGTATTGGTTGACACTGGTTACCAGCTGTTCCACGCGAATCCGGGATATCGGTAGTGCTTGAAGTCGCACAAGTAGGTGTGCATGAGATCTTGAGTTTGTAATTGACTTGCAGACCATCGTATGCCGTACAGCGAAGATGAATTTCCTTACATGGTGCTCGCTATACCACAGTCTGCATGCTTCTAGCCAACCTATCACCGATGCAGGGACTATGGGACATTTTTCAGCACAATTTTTCGTATGGCGATACTTTATGGTGATCGTCGCTCGCTGCCTCCCATTATCAGCACACCTCGATGAACCAGGCAATAACTTCAATCGTGTGTGCGTGTGCGTGCCTAAGATAGTTTTGCCACTTGAGGTTGGGCTTGATCTTGAAAAGAGTCCACCACTTGAGCGGGGAACGGAAGCTAAAACCACCTACAAAGGCCTCCAACTCTGACACTTGCGTCACAAACTAGACTTTTGCCTTGTGCAGCACAACTAAACTCATCGGGTTTGCCAGGAAGCCAAAACCTGATACGATACATTGTGCCGGAAGTCGGGGAAACACAACCCGGACTTGGAATCTCCGTTGCCAGAATTGTTTGTCTCCGATGGACTTTCATCAGGATCTTGGCCATCCACCGCTAGCAATTGCATGTATTGCTTTGCTGTCCCATGATGGAAGTGGTGCATGCTGAAGTCAACCAGGTTGAGAGTAGCACGGGAAGATATAGCAAAGAGCGGACGATGACAGCCAGAGCTCACCATTGCTGCTGTTTGGCACAATAGGCTGGGTTCCGAATGCTTAAGAAGAGTCTTCATCAGGCGTCCGCTGGCAAGGCGTCGCTACAACTACCATGACCCTAGCCCCTACTGTAGACGATCCCTAGACGTCTTAGATGAAGACATTCCTGACGTGAGCTTTCATTGCGTCATTTTGAATGAGAGACGGCCAACTGTTTCCAGAGCTCTGAGTGCCAAAGAGGCTGGTGGTCCAGCAGTCGGCCATCTCCCGAAGTAGATGTTCAGCCAAGCTTTTTGCGACAAAAAGGTGGTGTTCGCATTCGATAAGGTTGCGAGATAGATCCAGGTAGGATGCGGGACTTGATCCCAAGGTGATCTTGGCTTGCGCGTTCATTGCTATGAAGGGTGGTAGGCTCTCAAAAGCTTGTCCCAGCAGTCCCCTCGATCCCGTGTCCAACCTCGCTTAGCTGTCTTGCGAGGACCCGGAGGTCACTGAAAAGACATGCGGCTTGAACCAGTTGGAAACATGTGCATTCAAGTGAAAATTGTTGGACACATGTGGTCAAGCCAAGGAAAGCGAAGAGCTTAAGCGAAGATCTTCGACGCTTGGCCTTGGAGGACCGCTGACGGACACGGAGAGCAAGCCAGCCGTTGCGCAAGCTGGAAGTCTTATTGCTTTTGGTAGGAGATGCATTAGCATCGTGTGGGAGTGGAAAGTGCTGCTTTCGTGTTCGTATCTAGCTCATGTCAATCACCTGAAATGAACAAACAGGGGTTCAGCAAAGACTTGGAAGAAGTTCTGGCATTTGTTGATTCTTTTAGGCGTCGTTTGCTTTGCCGAGCTATCGGAATATCGCGCATCAGACCGATGAGTCTTTTCGCCGTGTGGATTTGAGACTCGAGCCTTGGTTATTGTTGCAATTCTAGTGGGAGCTTTATGGTTGTGTCAGGTCCTTGTTTGCCTAAACGATCCTAAACGCAGCTTCGGGAACACCACCCTGCACGAGGGATGGCACATCTTCGCTGTTTCTGCCCGTGGCGAGCGCCGCGTGGCTGCCGCCTGTGCGCGGGCGCGGGCCGGGGCCCCGTCAGTTTGCATGAAGGTCGAGCAGCAAGCTCTCTGCTTTGTGGAGCGGACCGTCAAGATGAGTTCTGTGTACAGTCTTGACATGGCAGCACGGGACGGGTCTGTCTTTGTCGGTCTCCTTAGCTGCAGGAGCTCCAGGTGGGAGCACGGCGGCAGAAGCTCGCACTTCTCGACTTCGCCTCCACCCAGTGCCCAGCATGGCCAAATGGGTTCAGGGGCACCTGCAATGTGCTAGGTTGATCGCGGTCTCAACCATCCGTTCAGCGCATGTTCATGCATGAACATCGCATCATCCAGACAGCGGCTCAGGTGCCAGCTCGCCGCCTTGTGCATTCTCTTGCTCAGGCCGGGATTTCGCTTCGCGGGGAGCATCGGCACATCCATCCACAGCCGAAGCCGTACATGACTGTATGGAGTCTCTTGGCATCGCTGCTCGTGATTCTGGGGCTTTCTGGCTCCAGGTGGGCGCTCGTTGCCCGGAGCTACCGGCTCAGCTCTCGGCTGAAGGCCCGGGCCCGCCGGGGGATTCTCAGTTTCCTTCAGACTCGGCAGGATGCAGAGTTACAGCAATTGAGCAGTTTGTTGGTTGGTTTGCAGGACAGCACGTGGGTGACATTTATTGCTAAAACGCCAGGTTGCCTGTTGATCAAGTGCGCAGCTGGTTTCGAACGCGCTGTCAGTCTGGATGGAACGGCGGTCCCGCAGCCCGCTACCTGCTTGTACACCAAGCTCGATAACCAATTCCACGTCATGACGCAGTCTATCAACTATACGGGACTGATGTTAGTTGTAAGCTCGCAGAAGATTAGTTACTCTAGAAACTCGGTATAGGTTTGAAACCTATAAGCTTCCGTCAGGAGTGGGGACATGTTGCAGCATCTCGACATGCGGCACGTCAAGAAGCGCAATTGCCCAAGACCCAGCTTGGAGTCTCACAGGGTCGCCCCTCGAACTTGGCACAGCTTTCTGACAGTCAGAAGATGGAATGATTCAGCGAACTGGGGCAGCTTCTAGGTGCGAGGCCTAAAGCGCAGGTAGCCAAAGTTACGGAGCATCCAAGTTAGGTGTGCCTTGCCTATCTAACTAGAGCAGGTATTGCGCAAGATCTAGGCATCGTCCAACATTTGATGTTCAATCCTAATTGTTATAGAGTGCTATGACTAACTACGTTGGGAGGATGCGGCGTACGCATGGTCCTGTCCGACCAGTGAAGTATGCAAGACGGTTGGTCCACGGTCGTGAGGATGCGAACGTATCTGAAGCAGTGACAATATCTGGACTATTTTTTCTCGGCATTGCTTTTCAATCATACCCTTGGACTCCCACACGACAGCAGGCAGAGACCCAACAGGATTGTCCTTTCCTTCAGCAATTTTGATGATACGCCACCGGTAGATGCACGCAGTCTGCTCAGTACCTGTCACGGTGACTGCCTCAGACTCTGCCATGGTGTGCATCGGTGTCCGGAGCGTCCTCGTTACGGTGTGATGCCTTTCTGTGTAGAAGTGTCGAAAGAGTTGTGAACACAGCTACATGCTACATATTTCCCTGAAAACTTGGTTTTGGCATCCCTGAAGCCATGGCTTGCATTGTGTTTGCAACCTGTCCTTCATGGTGGTGTCTGCGCGTGAGAGGCGGGAGTATCCTCTCAAGATATATACCTTGCAGCACACCCGTAAGCCCCTTGGTTCCCCCTTTCCTTGGAGGAGCCGAACATGCAGTTGTGTCACGTTTCTTGCCTTGGCTTTCGGTGGCTGAGGCTGCACATCTGTCTTGCCGCCTTTGCAGCAGAGGCTTGAGTGTCTTCAGAGTCGGGAGATATCAGCAGCTGACTTGCAGCTTCTCTCTTACATAGCAGGCCCACAGGGGCTGTGCAGGGTCGAAGAACAATTAGTGATCTGAGTTCACGGGTCTTTGCTCTTCTTCGCTGGGATTTGTTGAAGGATGTGCGCCTCTGTCCGAGGTGATCCGCAAACTAAAGGTGCAAGCCATTGCTGAACAGCGAAAGCGATGCGGCATGCAGACTATAGAGTCTGTTTGGGGATTGCTGGCTCTTTGCTTTTGCCGCGTGGAGTGGTCCTGCGAGAGAGGTGTGTGGGGAAGTGCATTTGCCAAACTCGAATCTGAAGGTCTCCGAGGCTCGACGAGGGCGGATCTACACGGACATGACGTGCCAGGCTGGCGTCTGTCAGGGGACTGGAGTTTTGCTTAAGCGAGAAACAGCGGTGCCAACACACCGATAGTTAGTTGTCTATGATCAGGTGCCGGAGAAGAGCACAATCAGAAGAAGGGCGAATCATGCGCTCCTGGCACCAGAGAACAGCAGCAGGTACCAGTAGTACCGTTAATCAGTATATACCACAGTACCACTATTAATGACAGTGTGCAGTCGTAATGCAGAGTATTCACAACACTTGGCCTCGGAGCGTCAACCACAGTAAGACAAGAGTAAGACCAATGCAATACTCGAAACAGGTGTCATGGTAGTGATACATGATAGCTGACAGCCACAGATACACCATGGCGTCATCTTCATGGGAGTAGTCAGTGTTGTAGTGCATGTATGCATACGGTCACCTACTAACGTTTCGTCTAGCATACAGACATACGTACATGCAGGTCACCGACTGCCCGCAGACCGACCGCCCACCCGCCTGCCCTCCCGCCCCGGCCCGCCGGCCTGCATGCCCACCTTTGGGGGTAAATCCATAAGAGAACTGTTGTGGACCGTGCGTTCTTCCGGCCTGAAAACTCACCAACCATACAGGACCACAGTCATTCCACACAGGCAAGGGAACTAAGCTCCGAAGCTTAAGGCCCAAGCCCTTCCACGGAAATTGAAAGGGAGGGGAGATGACCACGTGTAGCGACCGGGGGGGACGCGCCGGGGCGCAACCGCATAGACACGGAGCCCATGCACGCACACATGCCGGCACTCATGCACCGTGTCGAGACAAGGTCTCCCACCGATTCGGTTTGCCAATCTTACTAGCGAGAAACTATCTGTGCACGCAGATCCATGCAGCAGTGGCGAACTGCGACCAAACTTTCCAGAGACTGGTTCTGAAACGATGCCAAGCCGCTGCCTCAGCAGTCTATGCACTCGAATCTGAGAGTAGGACGTCTAGCTCGCTTCGATCTCGGCTATAGGCAGGAACTCCAAGGCATGGATGCCAAGCGTCAGTGGCTGGAACTGGCCGACAGGGCTGTTCCAAATTCTACAGCGAAACGAGCCGGATGTCAGGCATTGGAGGACTAGCGCCTTTTCGCGTGGCTTTTGCGGCTTGTGGGCTCCTGCTCTTGAGGCCGGGCGAGTGGTCTCGCGACTTCACGGCGCTGCGCAGCTGCGCCATCTGCGAAGCGCCTTCGCTGCATGGCCGGAGCCTCGGAGACGGGGAGAAACGAGGGAGGCACGGGGCCGGGCATGTGATGCGTGGCGGATCTCTTGTGATACAAAAGGATCTGCAAGATGCTTCGAAGGAGGAGCCACCTTTCGGATAGGTACTGGTCTAAAAGAGGTACATAGAACCTCTGCCCTTATCTATGTCAGCTCCTGTAAACTACTTGGTTGCTATCACTGTGTAGGATGACTCGATCTATCTACTCGTAGCCATGCTGCCCTGAGAGGCAGCCTAGCGGCAGCCTAGCGTCTTGCCAGACAGGTCCTGCGTGCCGTACCGGCGCCGGCGCCTTCGGGAGTGAGGGCCCTGGGCCCTGAGAGAGGGGACTCAGAAAAGCAGAAACGAGACGTTGCTGAGTAGCCCTTGAGCACTGGATTTGAAGCAGCGAAGAGCAGTGGGCATATCGTTGAGGATCGAAGTGACCAGAAAGTTCAACTTTGGGGTACTAGGCAGAAGTTGAATCACCAACGATTGGAAATGGGAGGCCTTGAACGGCTCAGCCTCACTCTGCTGCTGGATGTCACCAGAGGTCCATGGCCAAGCTCTCCGCCCATCTCGAAGCTGCTGCAGCAGCAGAGCTTATGGCCGTGGCACTTGCGGGGTGGTCCTGGAAAGCTAAGGAGGCCTCTGGGACCTGGGAGGTTGTCGGAAGCGGCTCTGAGTCAGGTAGACCAACAGACCCCGCAATCATCGGCTCCAGTGCAGGAGAAGGCATCCCGACGAGGCGTGCGATCCTTGGCGCCGGGGAGCTTGGCTAGCTGCCTTGGGCGAGTCTCCAAACCCGAGCTGCTACGCATGGGTCGTCATGTTGCAGACTTTGTAGACCCGCCGAGGGCCCGAAGCTTTTCGAGTATTTTGGCTAAGAGACCCGGAGGCCCAAACACACTCTGGACCTTTTGGTTTCGAGGCGAGGCGCCAAAGTCATCCTCCGATTGCGACGGCAGCTCCTCCTTCTCGAGGCCGCCTCGAGATACTCTCGCTTCACACTCGTACCCCCAAGGTTTTTGGTGCTGAGGACTTAGAGGCTTAGAGGATTTGGTCGAGCAGCACCTCCAACCTTTGAACATGATCCGACATGTCCCATCTTCGGATCCCCTAGCCGTCCTAGCCCGACTTCACCACACTCTCCGGTGCTTGGCCAAAGCTTGAGCCGAAGGCCTTCCGGGGCTGGCAACATGCACGCGCCCCCGGCCTGGGTTGTGCAACCGCTTTTGGACGCGATGGTGCTGTATCACTTGTAAGATCCGGGAGATGACCCACCGCCGATAGGCACAAGACTGCTTCGCAGAACCGCCAAGCAATCGTGCTAGCCTCGAGTTGCAGCGTAGCAGGGCTACTGCAAAGAAGGAACTGCATCTGGTGCTATCATGACTGCAACATACTGAAGTCTTCGCATGCAAGCCTCTAGCCGCCCCTGTGAGAATTGTCGCTGATTTGTCTTCACTATTTACTGTACGTGCAAGACGCCTGCGTCGCAATGTTTGCCGACGGCTGCTGCTTTCGGATTTCTTTTGGAACCTGCAGCTGGGGGAAAGAATACGTAAGAAGAGCGCGCAAGTGTTGACGTCGGGGTTCCAGTTAGCCTGTTGCATTTCTCAGCCGCTCATAGCAGATCCGCTGCACACCTCAAGCCACCACTCCGTCCGAAATGGCAGGCTGCTATGAGGAGGTCTTCCAAATGCTGACAGCCTCGCAGGCACGGATTGCCATAGAGTGTGAGTGATCGCAGCATGCTCTCACGATGAAGTGTGCCTGAGCTGTGCCGTACTTCCTCGGTGGGGTAGCAGTCTTCATTCTTTGAATGTATAGTCGGTTCAGCAGGTTGGGCAGCTTTATAAACCATGCACTGGTGGAGCCGTTCCACAAACTGAGCCCACTGGCCTGTTCTCCTGCATTACTGCATTTCGCTGGAATCAGGCTGATCTCGCAAACGCCGCAGAGGTTCGCTTAGAACGGCTTGCACAGCAGCCACGCCATGCTCCCACCTGCTATCACCCAGAAGTTTCATGAAGCCTGCATGGCCACGTCTTCCCTGAGCCATCCTGGGTAGCGATAGCTGATGGCGATTGTGTGAATCTTTCATATCAAGTACTGGTGGTACGGTAGTGGCAGTAGCAGTAGCAGTAGCAGTAGCAGTAGCAGTAGCAGTAGTAGTAGTAGTAGTAGTAGTAGCAGTAGTAGTAGTAGTAGTAGTAGTGGTGGTGGTGGTGGTGGTAGTAGTGGTAGTAGTGGTAGTAGTGGTAGTAGTGGTAGTAGTCGTAGTAGTAGTAGTAGTAAGTAGTAGTAGTAGTAGTAGTAGTAGTAGTAGTAGTAGTAGTAGTAGTAGTAGTAGTAGTAGTAGTAGTAGTAGTAGTAATAGTAGTAGTAGATAGTAGTAGTAGTAGTAGTAGTAGTAGTAGTAGTAGTAGTAGTAGTAGTAGTAGTAGTAGTAGTAGTAGTAGTAGTAGTAGTAGTAGTAGTAGTAGTAGTAGTGGTAGTGGTAGTAGTGGTAGTAGTGGTAGTAGTGGTAGTTGTGGTAGTAGTAGTAGTAGTAGTAGTGGTAGTAGTGGTAGTAGTGGTAGTAGTGGTAGTAGTGGTAGTAGTAGTGGTAGTAGTGGTAGCGGTAGCGGTAGTAGCAGTAGTAGCAGCAGCAGAAGGACTAGTAGGAGTAGGGGGAGTGGGAGTAGGAGTGTTGGTGGTGTTGGTGGTAGTAGTAGTAGTAGTAGTAGTAGTAGTAGTAGTAGTAGTAGTAGTAGAAGGGGCCGTAGGCTTCTTTGGCTCTCGTGGATTCAGCCCAAAAGTTTCCGAGGTCGCATCGGCTTGGGATTACAAGAAGTCCCGAGTCCTAAACATATTGGGTAAAAGAGAATTTTCCCCAATATGCTTAGTTCATCTTAGTTCTGTGTTACGATGCCTGCAGGCCGTCGCTTTGGCCGAAGCAGCCGCGGCAGCAGCAGCGAGGCGTGCAGGGACCCGCGAGAATGCATAGGCAGCATGTGTTAAGAGTTGTTCTGGCAGACGTCCACCTGTGGAGGGTAGCTTTTTCTTGGTGACCTTTCCGTCCGCGTCGTTGATGCCTGCAGGCACTTAGCTTGACCTCGATGTCGCATGCTGTTTGCGAAGCATTCATGCTGCATGTTGTTTGGACCGAAGCCGAATCTAGAGTCTAGAGGCGGCGTGTTGGATTCTGCGCTCGCTTTCCAAGCCTGAGGAGCCAACAGGTAACCGTCCGCGTGCTTCCGAC